CAGACACATCGCTGGTGTGTGTGTGCAGACACGTGGCTGGTGTGTGGAGACACGTGGCTGGTCTGTGTGTGCAGACACGTGGCTGGTGTGTGGAGCCACGTGGCTGGTGTGTGTGCAGACATGTGGCTGGTGTGTGGAGCCACGTGGCTGGTGTGTGTGCGCACACGTAGCTGGTGTGTGGAGACACGTGGCTTGCGTGTGCAGACATGGGTCTGGTATCTGTGTTCAGACATGTCATTGGCGTGTGCAGACACGTGGCTGGTGTGTGTGCAGACACGTGGCTGGTGTGTGTGCAGACACATCGCTGGTGTGTGGAGACACGTGGCTGGTATGTGTGTGCAGACACGTGGCTGGTGTGTGGAGCCACGCGGCTGCTATGCGTATGCGTGTAGATGGTACTTGTAGGCATGTCACTGCTATGTGCAGGCACACAGCTAGTGTATGTAGGCACGTGGCTGGGACCTGCAGGCACGTAGCAAGTGTGGGTATAAGCAGGGGGCCGTTGTGTAGGAGCTGACGGGCAGAGGGAAGGAAGAGGCCGGAGAGGTTGTGTGGCCGCAAGTTGCAAGGGCGGGAGGGGGGCAGTGGGGACCCGCCTGTGGTCCGGAGGGGCCCACCTCGCGAGCCGCCGCGAGAACCCAGGGAGAAGCAGAGTCCCCTGGGGCAAGACTGACGAGGGAGAGGAAGGGCCAGAAAGTCTGAGATTTGGGGCCTGGGTTTTTGGGAAGAACGTAAAATCATCAACAGACATGGGGTCACAGCCAGTTTGGGGAAAAGTGTCTGTTGCATTTGGTGCTGCTGAGCACAGCAGCCTCGTAGGAAATTGGAAGGGGGTCTGGCGCGTGGACAGGGAGTCAGGAAAGGGGCCACAGTCGGGGAGTTCGACGGGCGATGAACAATGAGGGACGGGGAACAGGGCAGGAAGTGTCAGGTCAGAGCATCAGATCCCACCCTCAGGAGGTGAGAGGAGTGTGCAGAGTCAGAAAGAAGGGGTGTCAGGAGCCAGGAGAGCCCTGCAATGTGCATCCAAGGGGCCAGGAGGGGAGCACCAGGCGGGGGACGGCCGAGCATGTGGCCTGAGTGCTGGTGTGTGTGTGCGTGCACACGTGGGTGTGCACGTGGGGGTGCAGTTGTGTGTCCATGAGGGTGGGTGGTGCGTGTGCACATATGTGCACGTGTGTGTGTGCATGTGTGAGGACTGTGTGCAGATGAGAGTGTGGGTTACGTGTGTGTGTGCATATGTGTGCGGGAGGAGCTTTGCTGCAAATGTTTTAAGAGCAGTGGGGACCAGGGAGGTAAAGAGATTGAATTTAGGTTTCAGTTTGGAAAAGCTAATAGCAAAAGGCTAATAAGCCAGATCAGAGAACCCCAGTCAAGTTGCCAATTAGTTGACTTTACATGTTTGATAGGATTTTAAATTTTGCAAGCCCGTAAGTGTGAAGAAAACCTCTTAGAGGTTATCTGGGTCCCCTGCCCATGTAGGCAGTAAACCAAGTTATCAAAATCTCACAAATTCAGCGCAAATCATATTCTGGCCGGGTAGCCTGTGTATACATATTTATTTTTTAGCCGTCATTTAAAGGAAGTAAGACTGTGGTGGTACCACTGGGAGGTTTTGTTTTTGTTTGGTGGTTGATGGTTGGTTGATTGTCCATTAGTGATTGGTCGGTTGGTGGTTGTTGATCAGTTGGTTGATAGGTGGTTGTTGGTTGGTTGGTAGTTGGTTGGTGGTTGGCTGGTTGGTGGTTGGCCAGTTGGTGCTTGTTGGTCGGTTGGTTGTTGGCTCGTTGGTATTTGGTGGTTGGTTGTTGGCCAGTTGGTGGTGGTTGGTGCTTGTTGGTTGGCTGGTTGGTGGTTGCCTGGTTGGTAATTGGTGGTCGTTGGTGGTTGGTTGGTAGTTGGTGCTTGTTGATTGGCTGGTTGCTTGTTGCCTGGTTGGTAATTATTGGTGGTCGTTGGTGGTTGGTTGGTAGTTGGTGGTTGGTTGTTGGCTGGTTGGTGGTGGTTGGCTGATTGTTGGCTGATTGGTGGTGGGTGGTGGTTGGTAACAATGTTGAAGACGTGTGTAGCTTCAGCAGAAGGTGTGAGAGGAATAGTTGCCGTTGATACATGAAAAACAGGATAAGGGGTCAAGTTCTAGAAAGACTGCCTCTGACAAGTGGAACATTGGTATTGGACATGGGGAGGGAGGAGTTGAGGGTGGAGGAGAGCAGGAAATAGGGTGGGTGACATGTTTGGGCTTGCTGAGCGCGGGAGAGCGGTTCCTTTGCTGGTTTTATGTCTTTACTGGGATGTCTGACACACACAGCTGTTTCCGGCATGCGGCTCCTCGTTTTGATGTCTGTGTACATTGTGAAGGGCTCGGTGCAGCCAGGCTAACGAGCACATTCTCCACTTCGTCGTTGCCGTGTGTGCCCGCGTGTGCATGTGGCGAGGAGATCCAGTGCAGGGGGCAACTCTGTACAAATCACTTCCTAAAGAATGTAGGGAGATTTTGTGTCATGAGGACACCAGATTTACAGAACAGACAAGTTGACATTGACGGAAACGGAGGACGGCCTCCTGGCTCTGAGCACATGGGTGCTTCTCCGGGGCCGATGGGTTTTCTCTTGCACACACGCTGGTGGAACAGATGTTTGCGGTGAGGGTCTGTTGTCATGGGTGGCAGGAAACAAAGTCAGATTCACCTCTAACCAGAACAGGCAGTCGTCTTGTCCGTGAGCGGCCGGGTCCGTCCAGGGGGATGGTGGGTGGCTGCTGCCGAGGGGCTGCCTTCTGAGCCCTCGAGTCCTGCCCCGCTGTCCCCCCGGCCTCACCGGATAAGCAGCCCCGGTGGTGGGAGCCGGACCCGCTGTCATCCTGCCCTTGCTCCCCAAGGTCACGGCGGGTCCAGGCCCCCCACAGACTAGCCGAGACGTGCCCCAGGCCAGCACCTGTCTCCCAGGACTGTGGTCCACCCACCCCTGCTGACCTCAAGTCCACACTGCGTTTACAGACCCACGCATGGGTGCTGTTTCCTCCGTTCCTCGTGACCGTGTTCATGGCTGGTTTTACCCTCCATTAATGACTCCCTTGTTTTTCGACCTGCGTGGTGCTGCGTGTGCTGATCATGGACCCACATGGGCCCTGGCAACGCCAAGAGCGTGTGCAGAGAGACCCTCGGGCATCTGGCAACACCATTTCCCGAGCGCACCCTCCGTGGGCCAGGTGCTGGCATCCACCCCAGGCTCGGCTCTGCCCCTGCAGTCCCAACACACGCTCCCTCTGACGCTGTCTGCCGGGTCCGTCTGTCGTGGGTCTTCATCCCGGTCTCTCTCCGACGCCGTCTGCGGGTCCGTCTGTC